CCTGCTGCTTATTCTGCAACTCCGTTTGTCCATTCAGGAACAGTCTTTTTACGAATTCCTGCACATCCTTGGTGAATGGCGTCGGCAAGTCCACCTGATGCTGGAGCAATTCACGTAGCAATGTAACCAAAACCAGGTTAAGCGTTTCCGAGAAGCTCTTGTAGCAATAGCCTTTGATTTGGTGCAGTGAAAATATGTCGCTAGCCTGCTCATCCAAATGTTCCAGCGTGTCCTTGGTTAACAGTTTCTTGGACACCGCAAATATGGTCTGCAGATGCTGGATGGGAAACGGTGGCACTCGATACAAGGGTCGTGGGCCTCCTTTCGTAGGCGATTCGCAGACGCGCATGTTGGGGAACTGGTTAAAACTGGAGCCGTAACGCGTGAAGAAGTGCGTCCGTGGGTCGTACGGCACGGAGAAGTAGCTGTGCAACGAGGGCTTGTTGTGCTTTCCGCCCGAGTACCGCTGGCGGGCATCATCGTGACCTTGATTCTGGGCCTGCGCCAAGCTGCCCGACATGGAGCGCGGTATTATGGGTCGAAACTGATGCGTGGCTGCCAAGCGTTCGCTACTGCTGAAGGACCCGACACAAGTGCCACTGGCACTGTTGCTCGATCCGGTGCCATCGCGTCCACCGCCTTTCTGAATAGGCAGCAGCTCTGGCGGAAAAATGCGGCACAGCAGGGGAGGATCATTGCTCGCATAGCGACCCATCGATCGGGCCAGTCCAAAGAGCAAGGGCACCGTAGCCTTGCACAGAATAATGGGAGGTGGTGCAGAGCTGCTGTCCCTGCTGGACTTTACTATGTTAGCCAGAGCACTTAACGTTTCTACTTGATTCAGAATAATCTCCTCGCGGGAATCTGGACATTTGGCCGCTATATCGGAGAGCAGGGTATTCAAGCAGAAGCTAAACTTCTCCGCCGAGGGAATGCGAATGCCTGGTAAATGGATAATTGCATTACCAATCTGGGGATAAGGTTTGTCATTTATATCAGACTGAGACTTACGTTCGACTTTGTTGCTTCGGGCATCGTCAATCCAGACTGCTTTGGGCAGGCATTTAGACAGGCGAAGCAAGTAGGGTACAATCTGTCCCTCATGCTGGCAGCCGCCTTCTAGATAGTAGATTCCCAGGGCAATCACGGCATCCTGGGCCCGTGTGTCCAGGCAGAATACTCCGGCGGCATTCTCCTGCGGGCAATACCGGAACAGGGTTTGCACCTGTGGAACAAAGAGAATCCATAAACAAGTGAGGTGTAACATTTTTTAGTGAAATTTATAACTATGACGAAAACCCTGAGCCTTATGCATTTCTGACTAGTTTTCCCATTTTACCAGCAGTGTATACTCTATACTTTATTATTTAAGGGGTCAACATTATTCCGATTCAAAGCTGAGTTTGTACATATACATGTTTAAAATTAAATGTTTGCATTAATACGCTTCCTAACAGCATAAATGCCTGCAAAGGTGTAGTAATTAGTACATCTGAATCAACACAATTTTCATGCACTTCTCATACTAGCTTTTCGAGGGCTGTAGTTGAAGTTCCGATGATGAGACGGTGACAGATTATAGAGCAGCATACTGTTTTTGTTTCAAATCACTGTCACTCTTCCCCGAATTAGGATAGTTTTGTTTGTGTGTTTTGGATTTCGCGAAATGTAGGCTCACCACCCACACCCCCGCCCTTTGAGCACCCACGCATGTCTGTTTTATGGCCGCCGCTCAAGGTCAGTGCGAAAAGTCGATTGTCAGGAAACTTGCTAATTCTGTCACCCCAGAAACGTACCTTTTCCCACGGAGTGGGCTGAATCCCCGCCAGAACACGGGCCAAACACAAAACGGTCCGCTGGTACGTGTATTTATCCGAGGCGGTCATCGTCATTGCTCCGTTGCCACTGCTCCTCCAACTGACGGCCACCTGCTGCTCCGCTCGTTCGTTTCGTTTCAATTTTATTGGCTGTCTCGAACAATCTCGCTAGGCCTTCGTCATCATTTTGTAATTCGGTAATTCGGTCGCAAAAAATCAAGTTGAACAATATAGTAGTACCGAGGAATTATCTGTAAATTATACCAAAAGTACTCCGAACGGTCACTCTGCAAAGAAATGTTAACTAACAGAGAAGCCCTCGGCGTATGCGCAATTTTTGAGCGCCCAACAGCAGTGCCCTGTTAGCGTTTACTAATACGCCATCTACCACTCGTGCTGGCAACGCCGCCTGGTAAGCCTGTAAGCCTGGTTGACCCGGCTAAACACAAAAGAACTTCGGAAATGGCTTAAAAATAAATACTTAATAAATGTAGTACATTTTGCCTGTATTTCTAGGAAACAGATTCGATTTAAAATAAATCCGTTTGAGTTATTTTATTAAAGTTTTTTCTTTGTTAATCAGCATGTCTATATGCATAGGTTCTGCGGTACATTTTTACTTACTCTTCCAGATCTCTACCACCGAACCGTTTGCACAGGCTACAATTTAAAAAAAAATTAAAATATAAATAGTTTTGTCTATCTTTCTAAACAATTTCGCAAAAAATATCGAGCAATAAATTTCCTAACAATGCTTTCAATACAATAATAGTATTATTCTCTCATCTAGTGAGCCTTTAAGTTTAACAATTCGTCATTCGAAAAATGAACAATACCTGCTTTATCTAGCTCTAAAAATATAGTAAAAGTCCGGACATCTTTTTCGAGCCCAACCTTCTAATGATCGCGAAAAAAGCGCATTTAGCCATGTTTGGGATAACGGTCGGGATAATAATAGCCTGCATGATTATGATCTCGGTGTTTGCCGGATTCAAACATGAAGTGGTCAAATTCAAAACTATGCTGGTCAGCATGGTGATAGTGCTGATGTTCCAGTACCTGATCGGGGACCCCATCAAGTTTGTAATCCTTGCCTTAGACAGGACATTCTGGCCGCCAAAGATGTATGTACCGCCTATGAGCGATGAAGGATATAAACACGATCGCAGGGACTTCCTGAAGCAACGCCTAGGCAGCCAGAAATCTAATTTGGTGATATCATCGCAGTACAGGAACTGGAAACTCAACGAGCAGTACAAGTTGATTGCCCATGATCTTTTCACCTACGGGCAGTACTTCCTCTGCTTGATGTGCTTGGTTCTGGTTACGCGAGATGAAACACTCTATCATAATACCAGGATCATCAAGGATCTTTTTATGTTCAATCATACGGATTACACGGGTCTAAAGGAGGTATACTTTCTGAACCAGCTGTATGACTTTATTGAATCCACGCTGGTGATAGCTTTTAATTCAAATTCGAGTACTGGAACTGCACCTGGTTGGGTTCATGAGGAGCAAACGGTTCTCTTGGGAGTGATTCGATTGCGCCAGCTGCGAGTGATTGATCCGGATATCGGCTTGGATGCACCGGAGTTCTCGGAGATGTACTACATGCCTGATTGGCAATTACCGTACCGTCGACTGCACTATGCTGATAAGTATTGGCGGATCTATGAGCCCTGGATCCCCATAACGGTGAGCTTCGAGTTTCTGGACGGCCTCCTAATGAACTTTGATCATGTGGGCTACCTCAACAGTTATCCGGAGCTGTCAGGCTACGTCAGTCTGCTGGCCCGGAGCACGGGGAATAGCATGAAGGTGAGTAAATGGGGGGTTACTGGGGAAAATCCTTTGGAACATGAGTTAAGATCGTTGCCCTTAGGTTTTGGACTACCTTAATGAATATCACTGGCTGACCCTAAACACCTCGGCGGTGTTCATCGACTTTACTCTGTACAACGTAGATGTGAATCTGTTTAGCATTTGCACTTTGCGGGTGGAGAAGACCCCTTTTGGCGGCCTAGTGCCGGATGTTCAGGTGGAAAGCGCCAAACTCCTGGAGAACGTAGATCAGATGCCCTATACTGGGTTACTGGCCTTGCTTATATATGTGGTCGTTTTTATTCAGTTCTCCCAAACGCTGGCCACCAAACTGTGGTACGAACCGCGACTGCTAAAAAGTATTTGGAACAAACTGGACCTGTTTATCTTTTTGGTGAATCTAATGGTGGTGGTGTTGGTGGTTCTGCGCGAGGCCTTAGTAGCCAATATGATGAAGAAGGTCGAGGGTGCCAGCAAAATGGAGTTTATTGACTTTCGGCGACCATCGCGCATGCACCAGTTGACCACGATCACGATTGGTTTTTTAATATGCATAACTACACTTAGACTATGGCGCGTAATGCAGTTCTCCAGTGTTTTTGAGCTATTCACCCGGACCCTTTACTTGGCTTGGGCGGCAGTGGCCAGCACGGCCATTGCCATCGTTATATTCCTCATGGGCTTCTGCTTCGCCGTCGTCACCATAAATGGTAATAATAGCAAAAACTTTAATAGGTTTATTAAGAGCATGGTGATGTGCATGTGCTTTTCCTTTGGCTTCAGTGCCCAGGTAAAGCCATCGGAATTATTCCATGGCGGTAAGTGGTTGGGCATTCTTTTGTACGGTGTTTTGGCCTTCGTCATCATAGTGCTTCTGATTAATGTTTTTGTGTCCTTGATCAACGATTATTTCACCATTGCCAAGACCATGAGGGACTCAGAGACTGACCATCGGATTAATTTCTTTGAGTTTCTGCGAGTCGAGTTTTCGGGATTCTTTCGCTGTATTCAGAATTTACCCTGCTGCCGACGAAATTACGTCCGTAATAATCGTACGGTGGCGCAGAATGTAAACAGGAAACTGGATGAAATGGATGCAAAAAAAGCCATGAAGCAGAGGCAACGACGCGGTTACCAAGTGATCCATCGAGAATCGGGTGACGATGCCCAGTCTGCGTATAAGGATCGAGGCGAAAGGATAATCAACGTAGGAAATATCCTGAGCACACAGTTAACGTTGCTCAGCATGCTCCTTTTTAATGATGATGAAGAAGAGCAAGATCAGCCGGAACCCCAGGATTTTGAAACGGATGTAGAGGGAGGAAAAACCACCGAACCACAAAAAAATAAGACCGATAATGAAGCAGAAGCCTGAAAATAATTATTTTCTAAATATTGAAATGCTGTATGCTAAGTTCTAACAGGAAAACTATAAAATTTGTTCAAATATGCTCTTTAAATTCTTTGGTCCGTCACAAACCGTTTTCGTTGGTTAGAAAAATCTCACAAGAAAAGTGGTACCTGTGCTGACGAATTTTAATTTTCGAACTCCTAACTCCCTCAATAATAAGAAATAATAAGCTTGTGACATTTCAAAATAAAATGGTTGAAATCTAAAATAACGTGTACAATTTAGCTGCTTCAGAAAACTGGGGGTATACAATTGACGATTCTATCGACTCTATCAAAAGGAATGTCAATAATACCTATGATTTCTAAATAAACAAAATATCCACCACTTAAATAAATTAATGTTGAACTAATTGGACTGCTTTAAGTACAAATTGGGATAATTCAAGGCATAAATTGGCCTGAATACTTCATTTGGCAGCTGTGTTTACTAACTTAGTCCTAAAATCTATTTAGTCTTTGGCTCAAGCGTAGCATGGGCGGTGGTCTCGGCTTCGGTGGTGAATGGTTGTCTCTATTTTATTTCAGCCACTCCTCATCTTAGTGGTCCGCAGTGGTCTTTTTCGAATGACGCTTACGCAGTGAATCCTGGGTAGCATCCTTAACACTGCCAGATTTCTTGACCAACACCAAATCATCTGCATCCACATCGCTCAGTGTGTCTCCACCCACGTCTGCAATGTCAGACTTATCACCGTAAGCAAACAAATCATCATCATCCCGAAGGCTGCTCGTTTTTGAGAGGATTAGGCCGGGTTCCAGCGACTTCGTGAGCCGGGCGTATTTGATTTGCACGCTGTGCAACCACTTGGCGTCGGACCAGTGGTACCAGCTGAGCAGAAAGATGACCAGTATAAAGAATAGATTGGTGCTAATGGCTGGAAAATAAAAATAGGATTAGCGGGGACTTTCTAGGGCGGATTCGGTAGGTATAAGGCAACATACCCACTATGGCCGACAACACTGGCCAGTTGAACATAATGTACCGCAGACCGGTAAAATCGGCAACTATATAAAGTGTCACCGTATAGAACTGAATCTTTTGCGACTGTATCTCCACATAGACATCTGTAATGGGATGCTGTCGCTCCTCCAAATACCGCGAAAATATCTCTACCGGGACCTGCTGGAATTCCTCCTTCCAACCAAGCACATAAAGCGGACTTAAAGCCCAAGTGGAGATCATGCGGATCAGTGGCGACCGATATCGCATCATTGCTGATCGGCAGGAATGTCCTCTCAGCATTGAATCGTAGTCCCTCATCTCGGCGCACACCATAAACATACCCAGTTCCAGATTCTGTGGGGATTCCGGCATATCGATGTTCACGATCACCTTATAAGTCTGGCCAACCATCAGAAGCTGTTGCTTCTTCGTCAGCGAGACGTGGGCATGTGGAAAGGTGCAGGGCGTACTGGTCTCTAAGCAGGTTCTGCAGAACGTTTGATAGAATCATTATCAGTGTACTTCAAATGTACATAGAAGTGGGTGCTAAGTCTAGAATGGATAACAACGAATTAAACAACTTGGCGATAACCAGATAACAATAGTGAACAAATTATTAAAGTTATAATTATCAATCGCACGTATATTTATGGACCTGATAACATAGGTTTCCAGTTTCAACATTTCGTCTGCTTAGCGGTTAATTTTTGGGCCAAGCACGGAAATTATGTCTAGTTCAAAAGTTTGTCGGCCTAGCTGAAAATGATACCTTCGGAGCAAGAATCTGGACCATAACCCGATTCTTACTTACTTGAACTGCATGTGGACGGGTCGTGTGTGCGATATGGCCGGCATGAAGACGTAGTAGAAAGCGGCGTACATGAAGACCGCCAGCCAGATGATGAGAACCACGGCGAAGGCTATGAGTCCTAGCCGCAGGACCAGTTCCCGCACCGTGCCTACTTTCTCATCCGCCTTGCTGCGGAGGCGATCGTAGACGTTCCAAGCGAGATTCAAGGTCGGACGGATGAGGAAGCGACGACCCAAGCCCAGAGGATCCAGGCAGAAAATAACAAAGCGCAGCAGGAAGTTCATGGTGGAAACTAATTGCAACTGAAACTTGGTCGAGCCGACGAACAGCAATTAAATAAACTAAGTATTTTGTATTCCGTACTATCAGCGCCGACTGCTTATCGATTCCCGATTTCCGATAGTGACCCTCTCTCCTCTAGATTTGCATTGGCTCTATCGGCTGATTCATATGTACATATGTATGTATATTGTGCTACGACCAACCCACGATCCCAGACCAGACGTTGTACCGGCCCAAAGGTCAGCCGAAACGACTTTTCGGTTTGGGATGATAGGGGGAGTATTACACTGACCAACACAACCTATTGTTGTGTTGAAAAATCATTATTTTTAAAACCATTCCTGAATGGTTTTAATATGGTCTTTGTTGTGCCTTGAAACACACTTTGTCAAACTCAAATATCTAGCAATACTCAACTACTTTATCAACTTGTTGCACAGTTTTGCTGTCTAGTGGTTCCCCGAACCAGCTGTTCCACCCTGCTATCGATAATCGGTAGTCGAAACCATCCGATTGTTTTCATTGTTTGTAATTACACATTTCATTCAACTTTTCCTTAATGATTAACCAAAATATTTATTAAGCGAGATAAACCAAACTAATAGTAAATACCACTGCCTATGCAGTAAAACGAGCGTACGGGTGAAGTGTAAAAAGTGAAATCGGTTGAACACAGATAAAGATACAGAAAACTGAGGATGAGCAACTACCGTTATCAGGGGGGCGGCATCGGTGGTGGAGGCGTGGCAGGGGGGCGCGGCTATAGTGGGATCGAGGTGCACGAGGTGATGCATCCGCATCATTTCACATATGTGAGCCAGTGCGTCAAGTACATGATCTTTATGCTGAATTTCATGTTCTGGTTATTTGGCGGCTTGCTCCTGGGAATCGGGATCTATGCTTTTATGGATAAATGGGAGGAGGCCAACGGGTCGGTGCGACTAGAAAACGTCTACGATGTGATCCTGAACATCTCCCTGGTTATGATTCTAGCCGGGATGGTCATCTTTCTGGTGAGTTTCTTCGGTTGTTTGGGCGCTTTGCGGGAGAACACCTTCTTGCTGAAGACGTACTCCGTGTTCCTGCTGCTCTTCTTCCTCTTGGAGATGGCCATCGGTGAGTGATTGCCTTTTGGGAGCTGCGAAATGTGGGTTGCAGTACTGGGACCTGACTAATTTTCTCTCTCCGCCAATAGCCATCATTTGCTTCGTTTGCCCGCAGTACATGAACACCTTTCTGGAGAAACAGTTCACGGACAAGATCATCCACTCGTATCGCGACGATCCGGACTTGCAGAACTTCATTGACTTTGCTCAACAGGAATTCAAGTGCTGTGGTCTCAGTAATTCGGGCTACCAGGATTGGAGTGAGTTAATGATAATGTCAAGGCTCTAAATAAAATGTCAATGTTAACATGAAGTTAAATTTTTGAACATAGCCCCTAGTAAAGGCTTTCAGTAAGATAAGCCCTAACATAATTTTGAGAAACTGAATATTTCCAAAACAAAAATTTAATTCATAGACAAAAGTAAACATGAAGTTAAGAAATTGCCTCTAAAATAGTTTTATAACCTTATGTTGTAATTTTGTTTTCACAAACACGCATATTTCATTTTTGACTACGCATTAAAATTTACAACAAAATCACAGATAAGGTTTATCTCAAAACAAAAAACAGACTTCCCTATAATTGAAAGAGCTATTTCAAAGCCTTATACGGAAAAGCCACTTTAACTGAAATCGTTTTATGTTGCTAATTGTAAAATACTTTTTTAATTAGCCCTTTCCATGTGCTATTCGCAGGCAAAAATGAGTACTTCAACTGCAGCTCGCCGTCGGTGGAAAAGTGTGGAGTGCCCTACAGTTGCTGCATTAATGCAACCGATATATCCTCAGGACTGGTGAACATCATGTGCGGCTACGGTGTCCAAGAGACTCAGGTTCCGGAGGCCAGGAAACGGATCTGGACTAGCGGCTGTATCGAGGTCATGAGGATTTGGGCCGAGCACAATCTGTACGTGATTGCCGGCAATGCTCTGGGCATCGCGCTTATCCAGCTGTTGGTCATCTATTTGGCCAAGACTCTTGAAGGCCAAATCGAACTGCAGAAGTCGCGTTGGTCTGCGTGAGATCCGGTACTGCCCGAATTTTTCGGGACTTACGATTGCACCTGAACGTTGCATACTCTCAGAATCCTTTGTTTTGTATAACACTCATAAGCCGTCAAGAGTTATAATGGCCAAGAGTGATAATTATAGGGGGTACATTAAACATCAATACTAGTTCCAACAAAAGAGATTTCTGTGCCACTCCGTATGAAACTTGGACAAAATAGCAAACGTGCTTATATAAATATAAATACATCAACTCGAAAAAATGATGTGACAGTCTTAAAATAAGCGAGTCTCTTATATTCCAATTTAAATTTTTTGTTTTTTTTTGGTCTTTGGTTACTTAACAAATTATACCGTGCAATATTAATTTTGAATGTTTCTCGAAAGCCAAAAGGACAATGATGATTACTGGATTTTTAGTTTCTTAAATATCTTAGTCTCCAATATAGTTTTTATTATATTCAACCGACAATACTCCAGATGTTGTAAAATACCCATACATATTTACATCTCCCTCTTTTACAAACTCATCTCAAACGATATACTCACGTATGCTTATACCAATCCGACCAAACAACGCCATATTATGTTTGGCCAGTGAATAACTTTGTAAGTCTCGATGCATTTATAAAAAAAACCAACAAGGAGCACAAATCTTAAATATGTAACTATAACTCATAGCAATTTTTGCATGTATTATTAATTTAGGAACCCTAGACCGGTAGATTTATAATTATTCAAAACAAAATATAAAATAAATTTATTTTAATCTGAGTAATGGAACAGCTGACTATTAACTATTGGTTTTCAGACTGGTTTTTGATTTTTTTTTAATTTAGAGTATAGAAATCGTTTGACTCGTTAAAAAGTTGAAGTTTCTCTAAGATTTTCCGTCGAAAAACTATTTAAAATGGTGGAGCCCTACATGCGACATTAAATCTCAGTTAAAAAATTAAAAGATATACGTCACCAAAGTTTGGGCTTACCTGAATGCCTGATATTTACTTTTGACAATTTGTTATGGAATGTATTATACGTATATTTTCCGAGCATATTTTCAGTATATTCTTTTTACCCACACTTCGCGCTTGTTAGTATTTTAATACTACATACGTGTTATTTCCTTGGTATTCCCTAAGCTGTTGAACGAATCAGCAAGAATCGTTGAATTTTAGTAAAGGGCTGGTTATGTGTTGTATACATTTTGGCCAAACTCTACTAGTGTTCCTGTAGCCCTTCTTTATTTAAAAAAATTAAATGTTAGTTCATCAACCTTACTAATAATTTTAAGCAATAAAAAAATTATTAAACATGTTTACGTCCCAAAAACTGTTACTCGCTTAGTCCTAAAGTTTTAAGCAATTTAGCAGTAATATTTTTTTTTTACAGAATATCCCAACTGTAAATATATGTACATATTCCTGTACCCCTTCTTTATTTAAAAAAATTAAATGTTAGTTCATCAACCTTACTAATAATTTTAAGCAATAACAAAATTATTAAACATGTTTACGTCCCAAAAACTGTTACTCGCTTAGTCCTAAAGTTTTAAGCAATTTAGCAGTAATATTTTTATTTTACAGAATATCCCAACTGTAAATATATGTACATTAATGTACTCTTTCGATAGAAACCGATACGTTCCGACAAAGTTATCGATGATTTTCCGCCTTACACGTGCAAACTAAGTAGCACGTTATAAATTTAATACGAAGAAGTTTACTTAATTTATGTATAGAAACTTAATTAAAATGAAGGCCAAGGCGGATAGAAACTTAACCAATGGAGGAACAATCAAAGCAAAGGTTAAGGAGGAACGTAAACGCCCACAATCCTTGAAATCTGGGGAGGATGTGGACATGGTTAGACCGGCCAAGATTCTGAAGGTGTCCAGAAAGGAAAAGCCATCGGAGCCCGAGGAAAAGGAGAACACACCGAGCAATGGTCACCTGAATGTATCTCAAATCAACAAAGCTGTTTTCGTGGTCTTTAAAAAGATCCAGGCCAGTCCCCTGACCCAGAAAATGATTAATTCCCTGGTGGTGCTGCTGCGGGAGGACACGAATGTTGAACAGGTGGGTGCTCTACAAGGTACCTGAGTAGTTCCATTAACAAATTTGTTTAATTTCCCTGACTCCAGCGCACTGCTACCAGTTGCTACGTGCTTAAGCGTTTGATACGTTCTACAGGAGCAGATGACCTCAAGGCAGTGACCCTGGCCGCTAGTTATATACTCTGCATTCTTAGCGCCGTGCCCGCTATTGATGCTCTGGAGGTTCTAGAAACCCTAAAGCGGGATCTGGCCGTTGGCAGCCAGCAGAGGGGCAAGGAGGACTCCTTGGCCGCCGTAGGTCAGTTGATTACAGCCTTTTGTATCCTGCAGACTCCGCAGTTCGCCAAAGCCGAGGCCAAACTGGTGTCAGCAGTCTACCAGATTCTAACGACCCAGCTGAAAGGCAGGGAGTACCTGGTGTCCATGTGTGCTGATATTCTAGCGGACTCTTTCAAGCAGGTTGGTGGTTGAGGTCCGCCGAAGGGGATTATCCTTATGCTTTCTTATATACTTTACATAGCTACCAGCTGCCATCTTCGAGGAGTACGTGTGGCCACTTCTGCAACCTCAACTAAACAAGCCATTGAGTGCATTAAAGGTTAACACCTGCGATCTGTTGCTTGCCGTTCATCTTACCTATCCCTCTATTTTGAGACGGGAGCAGCTCATTGCTAGTTTGTGGCCAAAAAAACCGGCATTCGGACAGCTCTTTGAGCTCTATTTTTCCGGTTCTACCATTCACAGTGACGGTGTCTACGCCAGATTGGCTATATTCCTGACGAAAGGCGGGAAGGACATGCTCGTTGCCTGGCAGCAGTTCAGCGATTCAAATCATCCTTTAAAAAACAATGCAGCTAAGGCTTGTGCGGTCCAAGTACTGGCCCACATAATACTCAACGTCGAACAAACAGAAGAACAGTACATTTTGGATATTTTTACGACCACATGTGTGCAATTCTTGCTGCAGGAATTGACAGCCTCAAAGGGGGACACAGGTGAGGCAAAAAAACCGTCCCAAAAGGAGCTGCGCGAAATTTGTTTCAAATTCGAAGGAGCCTTGGTTTTGAGTTTTGAGAAGCAGTTGCAAAATGAGGAAATCAAACTGCAGCTTCTGCTAAAATTGCTGCACCACAAACTGCAGTTGGATTCGGTAATTAGTTTGCCACGTTTCACCCAGCAATTGATCAATCAATTAAGCGTAGAGAGTCTCCAGAAACTCTACGATTA